GAGGTACCATGTGTTTTTAATTTTTTTTTGCAATTAAACAATTGCTGCTGTTTGTTTTTGAGCCATTACTTTGGTGTTAATGTAATAAATAAATAGTATCAAATGTAATATGAATTTAGAATGTTCTTGTATATTTCAAATACTGTTCTTTCAAAGACAGAAAGATGTGCCAATTTGAGATCCATTGGAAACCAAGTCATACAAGATGAATTTGTAATTGCTGTTATTTGCATGAATTACAGTGAGTGCAAAGAGTCAATATTCAATAAACAAATAATTAAATATTTGCCATTACATAGAGTGACCACTAGAGGGAGAAGACTGTACATTAATTGGAACGTGAGAAACTCAAAAAATGCTATACAAAGATGCTGTTGTGTCTCTGGAGGAGCAGAGTAGATGCTGCTGTACTTGGAGGAGCAGAGGAGATGCTGCTGTGTCTCTGGAGGAGCAGAGGAGATGCTGCTGTGTCTCTGGAGGAGCAGAGGAGATGCTGCTGTGTCTCTGGAGGAGCAGAGGAGATGCTGCTGTGTCTCTGGAGGAGCAGAGGAGATGCTGCTGTGCCTCTGGAGGAGCAGAGGAGATGCTGCTGTGTCTCTGGAGGAGCAGAGTAGATGCTGCTGTACTTGGAGGAGCAGGGGAGATGCTGCTGTGTCTCTGGAGGAGCAGAGTAGATGCTGCTGTACTTGGAGGAGCAGGGGAGATGCTGCTGTGTCTCTGGAGGAGCAGAGTAGATGCTGCTGTACTTGGAGGAGCAGGGGAGATGCTGCTGTGTCTCTGGAGGAGCAGAGGAGATGCTGCTGTGTCTCTGGAGGAGCAGAGGAGATGCTGCTGTGTCTCTGGAGGAGCAGAGTAGATGCTGCTGTGCTTGGAGGAGCAGAGGAGATGCTGCTGTGTCTCTGGAGGAGCAGAGGAGATGCTGCTGTGTCTCTGGAGAAGCAGAGGAGATGCTGCTGTGTCTCTGGAGGAGCAGAGGAGATGCTGCTGTGTCTCTGGAGGAGCAGAGGAGATGCTGCTGTGTCTCTGGAGGAGCAGAGGAGATGCTGCTGTGTCTCTGGAGGAGCAGAGGAGATGCTGCTGTGTCTCTGGAGGAGCAGAGGAGATGCTGCTGTGTCTCTGGAGGAGCAGAGGAGATGCTGCTGTGTCTCTGGAGGAGCAGAGGAGATGCTGCTGTGTCTCTGGAGGAGCAGAGTAGATGCTGCTGTACTTGGAGGAGCAGGGGAGATGCTGCTGTGTCTCTGGAGGAGCAGAGGAGATGCTGCTGTGCCTCTGGAGGAGCAGAGGAGATGCTGCTGTGATTGGAGGAGCAGAGGAGATGCTACTGTGATTGGAGGAGCAGAGGAGATGCTGCTGTGATGGGAGGAGCAGAGGAGATGCTACTGTGATTGGAGGAGCAGAGGAGATGCTACTGTGATTGGAGGAGTAGAGGAGATGCTTTGTGCCTGATGGAGAGAAGCAGCTGAGATGATTATGTCACTTGTAAAGAAATTTGGCTCTCCTTTCTTTCTGGGTTGCAAACCTATCAAATAACTTTGCTGTTGAAGTTGGGCATTTCTTTCACAATCTTTTTCTCCATAGAAAGCATGGCAAGGGCATTCAGTCTTTCTTGAGACATTGTGTTCCTTAGGAACGTTTTGATTCTTTTTAGAGTGGAGAAGCATCTTTCAGATTCTGCCGATGTCATTGGAGTAGTAATAAGAATTTTTAGAAGTTTAACCGTTTCTGAAAATGTGCACTGAAGGTTGTTCTCCATAAAAAACTGATACTGAGGCACTGCACCACTACACTTTTCAAACTCCGGGTTTTCATAGACCAAGGATAGTTCTGTCTTCAGTCTAGCCTTGTTCAGCATTGGATAGGCCTCCACGGTGGCATTCAAAGCAGCACTTGGAAAGGTTGTAGAATGTTGTGAGAACAGCTCTCCATGCAGCAGTGTTGAACTCACAAGGTGCCCAGTAAACACAAAGCGTTCCTTTGTTTGAGCCCAGATGGTATCACACACCTGTAAAACATAGAAAATAAATAACATTAATTGCTTTACAAAGAGCTTCATTAAATTATGTCACAATAATTTGAGTATAGTAGTAAATGTGGATATGCAAAAATCAGGTATGAAATACTGTTGTCTAAACCAAAACTAATCAATGATCTACAAGAGAACTAAATCATTAGTGAATTGAGATGCAGAGGAAATCCAAAATACAATTTGTGTAATGTACATCATTCTGTACATGTGCTATGTTTTTATCTGTAGTGGTACTTTCTCAGCAAATAAAGTCCCTAACAGATAAAGTGAATTTGATATGGCAAAACATTAGTAACTGCTTCAAACAAAACTAAAACTATAGAACAGCAGAGGACCTCTGAGTGGCACCAGTAACCGTGCAGCAGTTTGTGAAGCACTACTGTAGAACTTCAGAACCACTGGACTAGAGCACAAGAGGAGGCATGTGAAAGTGAACAAAGCTGTACCTCAATAGCAATCCGATGTCTTTCTGCGGGCCCCAGTGTCCTCTGTCGCTTGGCAGCTGGAATCTCCTCTTGCACAGTGATTATGGAAGACCTTGTTTAAACATAAAACAATTGCTTAATACTGTACTACATTATTCTGCATTCATGTTATTCCTATGATTTTTCACATTTACCTGATGTTTATGATGCTGTCGGCAAAATTACAGATGGCATTTTTGATGAAGATGGGGTCAATGTTTCGTTTCTGAAGCTGCTGAAAGAGCATGTCGACGTGTGGCATGATTTTGTGAAATAGTTGGAGAAAAAAGCAAAATGTACCATCCTCCAGCATCCTCACAAACCCTCCTGCTTCTCTCACAGTCACAGCATCAAAGTTCCCAGAGTCCTGAATGGTCTTAAAACACTTAAGAAGGTCATCCCTGTGCTCATATACAGTGTTCACTGAGCGACTGAAAGTTCCACCTTGTTGCACACGCTTTCGGAAGTCTGCTGCCAACCACATCATCAAGCACGCTGGTTCGTTTGGGGGACCTTGAAAAAAATGCACAAAATCCACCTAGCTCCGAAAAAAATGTGGAGACCTTGGGTATCTTTGAGGTGGCTTGCTGCATTACCAGATTGAGCTGATGTGCGTAACAATGCACGTAGTGTGCGTTTTCATAAACATCCATCACTTTACGCTGAACTCCTCCAGTGGCACCCCGCATAACGCTCGCTCCGTCATAAGCTTGAGCTATTAATTTGGTCTTGTCATTGGGTTGGATCAACACACTCATCCTTTCCAAAAGTGCTTGAGCGATGTTTTCAGCATTAGCGTTTTCAATTGGTATAAACTCAAAAAAGCGCTCTTGAATTACGTTGTTACGGTCGATGTAGCGAAGTACAAGTACAAGTTGGCACTGGACAGACAAGTCAGATGTTTCATCGGCTTGAATAGCAATATAATCAGCCGCAGTCACCTCGTCCTGAATGTACTCCTGAACAACAGCCAGCATACAGTCCAGCAGCTCATTCTGAATAGTTTTGGACGTACCTCTGAACACAGTAGCTCCCTCCAAATGCTCCTTCAGAGCAGCGTCCAACGACGAGGCGAAGTTAACAAGGCCCCTAAAAATGCCTGGGTTGTCAGAGGCTTCAGTCTCATCGTGGCCACGCAAAGCCAATTCAAAAGCACCACAAAAGTTTACACAGTCAATCAGTTTAGACAGAATATAACGATTCTTGTCGACTTCCTCATTGTGCCTTCTTATAAAAAGCCGGTGGCCATCATCCAGCTGAGTAGCAATGTTAGCCTTTCCCAGCAACGCAAATTTCAGGCAGTTGTCCATATGCATCTTTGTGTGTTCGTGTTTTTTGATTTTTTCCGAAATATGTTTCATATCCCGAACACCGTTTTCACACCAGGCTCGATCGGTCGCGGCAGTTTTAAACAGCAAACAAGGAAAGCAAAACAGCGCGTTAGCTACTCCGCAGCCGGTTAGCCACGGCTTCCTAGTGTACCATGTCCGCGAAAAGCCTCTGGTATAAGACGCTTCCTTGTCTTTCACCTGCTGTCTGATGTTAATTTGTGGCTGGTCCGGTCCCGTTTCTTTTATTTTAAGCTTTTCAGCCAGTGGTCTTCTTTCAAATGGATTTTGAAGAAGAGATTGCACGGTCTCTGTCTCGTATGCCGCCGCCATTGTCAACTTGTCAAGAAAGACTGGCTCCGCCCACCGGGTCTCGCGGACACTTGACCACACCAAAAAGTCCATGTAATATCTCCGATGGGCGCTGATGCCAAGCGCCCATCGGAGAAATAACATTGCGCGTCTCTGATTGGTTGAATTAATTATATGTAGTGACGTTTTTAAACACTATTAGAGCGCTATTGGTTAGAACGCGAGGGCGCTGTCCTCGCCGCCCCAAGCATAAAACTACACATTTATGATGCTGCTGCGGCACACGATGAAGCATGGCAGACAATATTACACAATCCTTCCCTTCCGCTCCCCCTCCCTTCAGTGTATAAAACACCTGTACAGAAGAAAATCATGATTTTGCTCAACTAAAAAAAAAAACTTTATATTATTTTTATTTGCAAAAATTGATAGGAAGGGCGGCGCCCCACCGCCCATAATGGACCAGCCGCCACTGATAAAGACTATAGACCACTACATGTTGTAGAATATTAAAAGTGTCCTGGCTCATCACCACAGTCCTTCTAGTTTCTCAATAACTGTGTAACAAACCATCCTGCATCAGCAAGGAAAAACTCATATGAAAAAAAACAGTTTGAGAAAGGGATCTGCTTCACTCTAGTGATTCTTTATAGTCCTCCCACCGCCTTCATCATGATTCGCCTACACTGTTTGTTCTACGTTGATAGGCCGGGGCAGGTCCATCCTACCACCCACTTCATCATGATAAGGCTATCACACACACACACACCTAAGTGTCGTTAACAGGTCCTCCCCTGCTGCTTAGCTATTAACACGTCTTCCTAACTGTTTGCTTTAGAATAAACATGTGCTATGATAAACCGTGATCAATAAATCACTTTAGACAACTGTGAAGCATTTACTTTATCACACACACACAGGGTCAACAGAAGCTAACTCATTACATATTCAAAAACTCTTTGAAAAAAAAAGTGCAGTAACACTTTTTCACCACTTGCTCAAGAGCGCCGTCTCTTTTCTGGGGAGTTTTAGGGTGCAGTACCACCTTTTCACCACTTGCTCAATACACCCGTCTATACTATCTACTGATGATGCATGTGGATGTTACGTATCGAAAGTGTGTGTGTGTGCTAGTGTGTGTGTGCGTGTGCATGTGTGCGTGCATATGTGGCGCATGCGGCGTGAGAGTCGGCCAGGAGTTTACTGATACATTGGCGCACACAGCTAGAGATGGACCCGCTCGTCACATCATGCGAATAGGGCTTAAAATAGAGTTATGAAGAGACCTCCTCTCTCCCCTTTTTCTCTTTTTTAACCGACAGCTTTGACCGGTTAACGCTGTGACGGTCAACCACCGGTTAAACAGTCACCGATTTACATCCCTAGTCCTGACCCTCGCTCTCAGTGTGGTGCTATTGCAATAACGCTTCAGACATTCAAGAATCAGTCTTTATTTAATCACCAGAACACACACAAACACACACTTGTAACCTCCCTGTCTGCAGTCGCTCTGCTATACTCCACACTTTTCATTCCTTCATTTTCATTCATTCATTTCTCAGCGCTCTTACACTCGTTGCTAAAGAGTGTGTGTGTGTCCGCGGCGCGCACACACACACAAACACACACGTGTGCATTCACGTTACCCACACGTTACCCACTGAACTGCTGCACTTTGCATCAGAGCAATTTGGACAAGTGTGAGATGTATCTTTCCCTAAACAACGCGATACTGTAGCTGTTAGCTACAGTAGTTGTAGCTAGCTGTTAACTGCATTAGCAGAATGTAAACAGGAAAAGAAGCGGATCTCAACCAGGGCAACGAGGTAGTCTCTGGTGTTAGTATTAGCGCCACCAGCTGGACCGAGTGTTGAACTACAGCACAATTTCCCTGGCACGGTTCAGACAATACGTTCATGTGACCGCGGGCCGTTTTCACACCCCTGTGGCGACGATCCGGGCCACTTGGCCTAGTTTGTTAGTAAAAACCTATGTGACCGTGCAGCTTGTGGGAAGAAGCTGTGAGCATTTCGAGATGTCCTGCATCTCAACAAACGATATCTTCCACCAGAGGGAAGACGCTGGAACATGACTTTTCCAGGGGCCAGATTCATAAAGAACTTCCAGATCAGGCAGCTCACAGCTCACAGAGCGAAGCACCTTGTTCAGAGCTCTCTTTTCTTTGTCTGTGATGTTACCAAATCACACAGACACAGAACCAACAAGCAAACGTTCAATGGTGCAGCAATAAAAGTTAAGCAGGATCTTAGAATTTGTGGTGAATTCTCTACGTTTTCATAGAAAGTAGAGGCGCTGATGAGCTTTCTTAACAACCTCATTTGGGTTTTTATCCCATTTCAGGTTGTTAAACCCAGAAACTTGTACTTCTCTCCAATCTGCACATTATTATCATTATTATCAATAACAACAGCTGTGTGAGAACTGTTACGGCTCAAAGTTACAGCTGTGATGGGGGTAGACTGTTGCGCTCTAAAGTTGCGTTTCCACTGCAGGAACTTCAGGATAATTTTCCAGGGCCAGCCCCGTTGGTGCGCATCTCCACTGCAGGAACCTCCCCACACGGGGTCGGCCCGATGTTCCCCGGGTCCGGTGTTCCCCGGGTCCGGTGTTCCCCGGGGCGGGGAACATCGGACCTTCCAAACGCCGGAGGGCCCGGTGTTCCCCGACTGCGGGCCTCGCTCATAGACATGTTATTGCTGCGCGCGGATAATGGAGCAACAAGCGGCTTTCGCTCATAACTAGTCTATTTTGGGTAGGCCTGCAGATTAGTAAGTAGGCCAAATTCGCTTGCAAACTACAAGGGCTAACTGGAATTGGGGTTTCAAAGAATATGGTTCAAACGCACACACGCACGCACACGCACTCACACGCGCACATACACACAAGCTCATTTATGAAACTTGCGTTGAAAAAGGTGTACATTTTGGGTGTATATTCCATTTACGCAATTTGCCAAAATGTTTTGATACATTAGAAAAATCCTTATTGAATTGTAGAAGTGAATAAATATAGATTGATTGAATGAATGAATTAATTCATATATATTATGCAGCGGTGGCTCTCATGAATGAAGCGTCTGCAGCGTCTTGGACGCAGCCTGGCTCGGGGTAGAAGTGCGCATTGAGGCGCTGTACACTTCAGAGAGCGTTTGCGGTCCAGATTTCACAAAGAAACTCTGGAGCCAAAACTTCTGCACATGTGGCGCGACCTCTCACGGCACTCGCTGCGCACTCTGGACAGGGCAGTGAGACGTTTGAGTGAGCAATACCATCGATGCGTTATTGGGGTGTGTGTCTGTGTGAGGCTTACACAAATCTAATGAAATAACACATTGCTTTACCAGATGTGAATGAGGAATACAAATAGCCGTGCGTAATTACGCAGCGCAGAGCCTGCCACATCAATAGATGGGTCACACATCCCTGTTGCGTAAAGTGTATTTATATAGAGCCTTTCACTGTCCAGGATCACAAAGCGCTTCACATTTTAAAAACATACAGATCAAAATAATACACACACAAGTCAGATTTAATAGAGGGTCCTCATGAGCTGTGATTTATTCGAAGTTTGCGTGTTTCCATTAGACTTTTTCTGATGCGCAAATTCAAATTTTGAAACATGATCCTCAATGAAAACACAGCATATAATTTTGCCAGAGGGAATATGTTTATTGTTGTACATATCTTGAATTTCATGCGTGTTGTGCCGAAGGTTGAGTTCAGCGTATAGATTTACACCACCTCCAGACCTGGCGTTTATTTTTTGCGTATTGTACGCTCACGTCCAGATAGATAAATGCGGAAAAGTGTAATATTTTGCGTAC